TTTATTATACTTATATATTAATTAATTGAATCCTAATATATAAATGATAATAACATTTCTTATTATTTAAGTTTAAAATGAATCAATTTAATGGTATCATCCCATTCAATTGATAGAATGAAAATTAAATAAGTAAAATAAAATAAAAAAGATATAAAATAAAATGCAATAGCTTTTTTGTATTTCAATAAAGTCTCTTGCCTTAGATCTTCGTTTCGTTACAAACTTCTCTACGCATTTAAGCATAAGCAATCTTTTTTCTTACATCCCCTATTTTTCAATTCTTCAATTCGCGTATATAAAGCGGTTCTAATCCGTTTTAAGAAGAGACACATTGGGGGATGGTCGGCCATTTTAATTACTATGTTGGTCCAAGTTTAAGCCAAGTTAATTCCCTGTCCATTTGCGTTGAACAAGAGCATATCAGCGCAGTGGCGCCTCCGCGTGAGGAATTCCGTATTAAAAGTTTACCTGGTCGTTACGACGCGTCGCGACATCCCGGTTGCGGGAAAGAGCAGAAATTCCGTTATGCGACCAAGCTACCAGGAATTCCGTAGTTATACGTGTCGTTCGTCGTTCCAATGCCCTCTCGTTGCCATGGTATAAAGTGGACTATAGGGCTTGCACCCGATGAAAGCTCCTTTGTCATCGTGCCTCCCCCAATTACGGGACTTCTTATTAATAAAGGTAAATGATTAACCGAAATTTTGAAAATTTTTAAAAACTCTTTCGTTTTTGCTTTTTTTTTTATTATTATTGATCGTTATATTTTTTAGAAGTATTAGATGAATATTTACAAAAAGATACCATACAGGATATTTTTTTTTTCAACACGTTGTTTCAGGATCATCGCGTTGTTTGTCAATGAAACTAGAAATTAAATTTTTGTTTCGCGTGTTAATTCTAAGTTTAATTCCATTTGAAATCAAAATTAAGTAAAAACTCGTTTAACTGATTTAATGGTTTGCATTAGGCTTTGAACTAGTTTTCTTAATCTGACCACCATGAGACCATCAATTGTCCGTAGCAAAATCTAATTAAAACTTATTTAATCTAAACTAACTTTTGAAGAAACATTTTTGTTAATAACATTTTAATGAACAACGATTGCCAAGTTAAATGGTATTCGATATAATCTTGACAAAATCATCAAGATCGAAAGGTGCTCTTTGTAAATAATTATTCAATATTATTATATTTTATTTTATTTTCTTTGTATTCGTCATTTTTATATTTCTTTCAAATTTATAATATAGACAAAAATTGTTATTTTTCATAAGATATTGAGAAATTTATGGGAAAAATAGGTTAATAATTGTTTGTGAATAGATTTTGCACGAATTGGATTATTTTCTTCGAGTGAAAAACAATTCTTCGAGAAAAAATTATATGAGGAGAGCATATTAAATTGTTAACGTTAAATCAGGTAAATCAACGTTCCCGAAGAAACTGTGTCTTCATTATTTATGTATAATTTCATCGATTTTTCTATCTACTTTCTTTGTTTCAACGGCTATGTGCGTGAGAATCTTTACAAGTTGCGAAGAGGGAAATTGTTGAGAAATGTTCTTTCCAGGTGGAAAGAAGGATCGTTATTTGAAGCTTTAATAATGAATATAATACATAAGGTACCGCGTTTGCAACATTTGCATATTAGATATCGGTTTAAATATCTTTTTCTTTAAAATTTTCTTCGAGATGAAAAATTTGTTTTAAACGATTTTAATAAAATTGCAATATACTAACCGAGTATTTTTATCTATTTATAAAGGAATCGAAATCAATGTTACTATCTTATTGATAGAATGATACAAACATAATCGATACAAAAAAATATTAATAAAAGATTCGATTAATTTTGAACTAATGTAACTGACAATTTAATAACAAAATGAAGAAAGTCTCGTACGATTGTTCTCCAAAACGGTGTATCAGAAAATTACACACATGAGTTAATTAATTAAAGATATAAAATTTTACAAAAATATAAAGTTTTACTGAAGTGAACGCCGAAAGAGACAATCCAATTCTATAATTTACTCTTTGCTTTGATTTCACTTTCCCTATTATCCTGCTCCACTGTAAAAAAATTCGTAATAGACAGTAATAGAGAGAGAAAGTAGCGCTTGTTGCGTATATAGCGCATTTAAAAAAAAATTCCGACATTTCCATAAATATATGTGACGTACAATGGACAATACGTGAAACAGAAATATAAAAGCTGATTGCCCGGGGGCGAGATGTAACGAAGGCCGTTGTACTTACAATAACGTATTGTTTTAACGTACCAGAGCCAGAAGCTGTATTGTGAACTACTCGCTTTAATCATTCACGGTGTAAATAAGCTAACAACCGTGTTGAGACGTCACGAGATCGATAAGATTATCCTCTTATTTTGAATCGAATATTCAAATCGTATTGATGAAATTAATTTATCTAATTTTGTTATTTTTTTTTTCTAATTAATATATAGAGTGCTTAAAACAGACTGATGATGAAAAAAAATTTGCATTTGTGTCGAGAGTGCAAGATAATTTAATGCAATTAATTTTTTGATTGATAAACACGACCATCAATAATATGATAAAAGTCAATTATAATATTTATTTTTTTAAAAGAATGATATATTTTTTTACGCAATGATTAATCTATGATTGAAGATTATTCAAGATCAATTGCAAAATAATTTATTTTATGAACGATCAAATATTTTATTCATTCTTTATTGGATTGGAAGGATTTAGCACGTTCAGAAAATCTTTCTGCATTTCACAAATGCTTCTCTCATATTTTGGCAACATTCGATACAAATGTAAACCATATCTACTTCTCCTTTGAATAACACAGTTTGGAAATTATGAGTTGTTAAATAGATAAAGTATAATATAAACTGCCCTCGATACCATGAATCAGATATATTTTTTCCTAATCAATAATAGCCGAGATATTCAGATGATCCGTTTCAAGTGAAAAAAATTCACGAGAGGGAGAGAGAGGGAGGGAAAAAGATAAACTTTTTAATCGAATTTGAATTCATCACACTTGCAATATTCCCGTCTCTAATTATAACTGACAGCTTTATTTACATACTCTATACACCACTCGCGAAAGCTTTTGAATCCTGAAGCTTCTATATCCTATCCCAAAACGGGATATAGAATAGACTTTATCGAATCTCGATAATATCTCTCACGTATCCTTCGACTTAATCCGTTCGAGCGCTAATCAAATTGAAGAAAATTCAAAACGGACGACAACAAAGGGACGAAGCATTTAGCATTTATCCCTTTGACAGTTTGACAGGGAGCACGGAACGCCGAGCACGCTTTCCCGTCACGGAAACTGAATTTGAAGGGGTATTTTCAGTTACGAATTACCCCCGAAACTTGACTTCAGATCTTTTCAACCGTTCTATCCTCGTGTACCGTCGTTGAATTTTACTTACAATTTCTATACCTGCCCCTCCCCACCCTGCTACTGCCAACATTCCAGAGGAGGGGAGGGGAGGAGAGGTTGTACGGTGCATAAAAGCGGAGAAACACGTTGGAGAAGAGAGGGGAGGGATGGAAGAAACGCCCAAGGCTCTCTCCTCGCGCAACGTGGGTACATACGTTACGCCGTTTTATTTTGTCATTGTTTTCCCGGAACTTTTCGTCCGCCTCTGCGAGCACACCGCCCGTAAACTTACTATTTCCCTTGACGCAACTCCTTTCACCTACAGGCGACACGTTCCACGCTTCCTTTTTTCATCCTGCCCCGCATCCCTCTCCGCGCCATCAACCATTCTCCATTCCGCCGTTTCTCTTGCCTTTGATTTATTATTTCGTCGTGTAATTTTCGTATCGCGCCTCGAACGCCAAGTTTGCCGCAAAGTTTCTCCGGGCTTCTGAAACGATATATTCACCCCTCTCCTCTTTTCTTGTGCTTTTAATAATCGGCGACATTTTCGGATACTTCCGTTACTTTTCTTGGATTACGTTTCACGTTTCCTTCTCTTTTGTTTCTGTGTAATAACACGATATTGACGTTTCAGTAATTCAGTCTTTTTTTTATTATTCTTTAAGGATATTGATTATATATTAGATTTTAAAGAGAAAATTTGTGATTTAATTATACTAAATTATCAAACGAATGTTATTAAAATTGTTTTAACAAAATTTTTTTAAGAGAGAATTAAATGAATAAATTAAGGGAAAATAAATGAATTGGATCAATGAATTGATTTTTCAATTAATATAATATACATTAGGGGAGAGGCGAGTTGGCATAGGATCAATTTTTTTTAAGTCGCTTTATTATTCACAAGTTTCTCTCTTTCTTTCTTCTTTTACTTTTTTAAAAACGAAAGATGCCGGTATCTTGTTTCTTTTTCTTCTTTTTATTACTTTACCGTTACGCTTTTTATGACGTTCACGTATTAGGGCTTGTACGTGTTGGAGGGAAAATAGTATGCATCTCGCACAGAGAGTCGAGTTTGCGAATGTAATAAATTCCCTCTGTCTTTTGTGGAACAGATGCACCGCAAAATAAGAGTTTGAATCTTAAACTCTGTTTAAACTTTAGCAACAAGCTGCGCCACGCGTGCAGCTGTACGTGTGTTTATTTGGTCTTGATCATTTGGAATTTAATGAATAATGTGCTCGAATGAATAATTTATTTAACGAGGGAGGAATTTTTAAAAAAAAGATTGTCGTAAAATTTTTGAAATTTAAAATTATCCATCTTTCAATCGATAGAATAACACAATTTTGAAGCAAATAATAATAATAAAAATAATACTTTATTTAGAGAAATTTATACTTTATTAAAAGATGATGGACGATACTCTGGAAGTGTTATAATATCAAGAGTATTCGGTTTAGATAGATCGTTTTGGAATCAAAGATATCCATATCACTGGTGCCAAATTGATTCCAATGCAGAGAAGATCCTGAGATACTAGACATCTAAGTGATCTTGATTTCAATCAAATCTACGAACTAAGAGGATTGTTACGTTAAATGGATCCTGCAAGTGTTAGGGATCCTGAGATGGAGGACCTCTTGTCAAGTATATTCTAGAAATAACAAAGCAACGTGGAATAATTCATAACAAGACCAATGATATTAATTTAACAACAAATGAAATAAAGTAATAATATTAATAAATCCCTTTTTTTTTTAAAGTCAAATTGTTGATATTTCATCCTTTATCCGTCAATCCAAAAAAGATTGAAATTAAGATTGAGATCTCATGATTCTCCTGTTTCATTTTATTCAATTTATTGGACAGTTTAATAAGGAAGGAAGTTCACTCTGTACGACGCTTCGAAAGTATTGCACAGTCTCATCGAGGCAGGAAGCGGAAGTGGGTGGAGTGGAAAATCCAAATTGCGGCACAAAGCTCGAGCGCAATCAGGTTCACGATAATCCTCGCGCCTTCGAAGACTTTGGTACAATCGCAGAGGCTAATTACGTATCCGCGATGCGGCTTCAAATCCAATATTATATATACGCGACTATTATAGGAATTTGAAAGTTTTTATATAAATCACGTGTTTTTTAGATGGCTGTTTTTCATAATTTACATTTCCGTTTTAACTGACTTGTATTTAATTATCCTTTTAACGATGCTCGCAAAATTAGCGAAGATGATTTGCAATGTGTTGATTTTCAACAGATCTCTCTTCAACACGGTTGTTCAAAAAGTGTCGCGAAAATATTTGCTCGTGAAAGTTTGAATGAAATTACCGTTTTAAACTCTTTGAGCGGTGATTACGTCAATGGGTCACTTCCAGGAAGAATAATGTATAATACTTCAAGTTTTTGATAGACACGAATTTTGTGAGTAATATATTCCACGAAGTAAGCTTGCTTCCTTAAGTATTGAAACATTTATCCAAGTAAATCTAGTAAATATTATTGTGCAAAGTTATTACAGATCTTAGAAGAATTCATAAGAATAATTTTTATGTAAGAAAAATATAAATAAATATCATCTTTTCTAGTCGATAAGACTCAGTCTTGAAATGAAATTATATGATGGCAGCTGTTCTATAGCAATCACGTTGAAATCTTCAATATTGACAATCAGTAGACGAAGTTGCTCGACGAGTGAAAACGGTCAAAGATGAGTAAACGGAACGGAGGGGAGACAGACTTCGGGGTGGAGAAGAAACAGGAAGTGGTAGTAGGAAGCAGCAAGGGGAAAAAGCGATGGCGGTTAGACGAAGAAGTCTTTCAGGATTGCACTCGTTAGCCCTTTCACGGTGGACTTACGACTTGGTCACACATCTTGCCTGGAAAAAGAAACGAACCGTGGTGCATCCTTTTCCTTCCGTTCGAATTGCACTGCCAATTTTTTTGTCGATTCGAGCTATCGGGAAATTCTCACAGCTTCGATATCAATAGCTTCAACCCTTTAGCCCAATATTGACAATTTCGTTTTAAATCTCTTTGTTTTCATTTTCATCTTGAATCATCGTTTGACAATATATAATATATTGTTGTTTCAATAATGTCTCTTCGAACTTTCTCTTTTTTATCATTATAATATAGCTATGCTCATTCCAGTTAAAAATCTTTTACTCAGATCTTTTTATTTTAAATAATCACGAGCACGAGTGAAACTCAGAAACATTAAAATAACCTGCTTAATCCAAATTCATATTCTTTTTTCCAAATTGTTCATATCTTTGAAAATGATTCACTCACGCATCGATTCAATTAAATAAAAAAAAAAAAAAAAGAAAGGAAGAAAAACTGAATTA